GCGAGTATATTTTGTATTGTTTGAGTAAACGTCGAATCCATGTCTCAGTTTAAACATCAAACATCGCACAGTCTGTTACTTGCACGTTGAATCGTATTCAAGAGTGGAGTGCTTACTTTTGCTGAGTAAAGTCTATCATCCTAATCTAAACCCAGGGGATCTTTCGGTATTCTACTGTCCGAATCCGTCCGCATCAATCTCTGTTTAGCCAAAACCGGGTGAAATAACTCAAATGTCTCCCCCAGTTCGTTTGCGATCGATTAATTGCTGATATCGCTTACCCTTCCAAGGAAGATTGCTTTCATATCAACCTTTTACCTGAAATCAGTGTTGGAATCATACAAGGGTGCGATTTAATTACATGGAGAAATTGAACTGCATAAATCACCCTGTAGCACGTCCGTGGCTAGAGCTGTGTGTATCAGTGTCTGTGGGCATCACATCGCTTTATATTGATCATCCACAGGTTATAATACTCTCGCAGATCTATCCATGAAATCGTCATTGTGTGGGCACCAGTAAATCGTCTTTCTTGTGTGCGTACACATGTGTGTGCTCTACGAGAGTTTAAACGACGTGAGAAATGCCAGTCTGTTTGTCTATCGGTTGCACAAGGCTTTCTCTCGTTGTTAATCACGTGTGTTTCGTCGACTGGAAAGCGGGCACGTAATACGCGTGAGTACATACACCAGCTTTGACAAAATAGCACGGAATAGACTTAAATTTCTGTTACTTTTGCTTCACCTATCGATCGCGGCATATTCGTGTACTCGTGCGTGCGCGCGTGCGAGTGCACGTGTGACGGCGTCGTTCCTCTCTCTGACATTTCTGTGAGGCCGTTTCTCAACGTAATCATTCAATATAGTCTTGAAGGATTGTCGCTCTATGTGAAGGAGAATTTTACCCGAGCTGAATCACCTGACGACCACATCTAGAGGTTCAGTGTGTTCAGTGAAGTTGCGGTTTGCAATTTGTGGTTAAGTACCACAGGATTTACTTTGCAACTCACCTAGTCTGTTCTGAGCATTATGATGTTTACGGTTGAGAGAATAACCTACTCAGCCTGAGTTTAACGCTACACGCAACAAGTGGGCATAGAGATATCTTGAATGTCAGAAGCAATGTGTTTGAGTATGGATGAATCAGAGGATTAAAATACGTTTTGGATAACTTTTGCAAGCACTAAGGCTTATATTTCATTGGGTTGCTTCGGATCAGCCACTTAGTGCTGCCTAGTTCAAACGTTGGAAGCACTGAGGCGGTAAAACGGTGTGGATTGAAACGTGTTGGTATCCATTGAAAGGCGCGCTCTAACTCCTGAAGAAATATCTCTGGTGGATAACTAAATAGCAAGTTGCAAAAGTTTCTAATTTGCAGAGATTCTCGTAACCGCGTAAAAGCATTCATCATGTGCAGGTCATGCAAGAATGCACGCAGTACTCGGGATGGCCGAATAACAAATCGAAGAGCAAGAGCAGATTAAGTCATTATCATATGGATTTTTGAATTGGACAATTTCGTATTTAATGATAAAGAAATACTCTACTCAGGGTACTGTAGAAGAACAGAGTACTTCTGATATGAATTCTGGAAGAACACGTTTGATTTGCGCCGCTGCGGTTATTTTGTAGTTATTTCGTGGATAACCATTCCTCGTAGGAGATGCAAGAAGGAAAGCAAACAATCAGTTAATAAATCAGAACTCCGAACCACTTCAGTGTCCCTGCAATTTCCTGAGGTCAGTAGGGGAGTGTGCTTTTACAGAAAAATATGCAGGTCACATCAGTGGAACATGGATATTGAGTGGAAATACACTGAAATTATTGACTAATGCACTCCCAGCTAGGATTTGGACCATACTGAGAACGTTTGTGAATTGCCGGATATAAGGGCTTGTACGGTTGTAAGGTATTACTCACAAAATATTGCAATTGGCAGTCTCCTTCAACAAAAATCAATAGGAAAACAAAGGCCGAATTGCCTTACCCCAAAGAATAACTACGGACTGCTTCATTTAATACCCAGAATGCTGCCCGGAATGGCGATCACATATTTCTGTTATATGTATGCCAAGTTATTGATATAGAAACTGTAATCTGCAATAAACAACTATCCTCGGCCAGGCACCACTTTGTGGAATAACAACAACTGGTGCCTCACCAGGACTCGGATGAAGGTTCTATGGCCTGAAACTTTCGAGGATGGAGGGCCGCGGACGTTCCTGGAGGCGTTTGGGGACGTTGCCGAGCTGGTGAGGATACGGTCGGACTAGGGTAAGTTGACGGCCCTCTGAGTGCTCCTCAAGGGCCTTGAGCGGGCAGTGTTGGACGCAATGCGACGAGGCCTGGAGTGGGCCGGTGCAAAGGACACCCTGATAGCGGGTTTCGACACCCGGTCGACTGTCAGAAGACGTTGTGGATCTTCAGGACGGCGCAGCTAGAAGTTAGCATTGACACCCTGTCGCATCCCATGGCGCTGCGCGCCCTGTTGAATCGAGCGCTCCCAACATTGGATGATGCCACGCGGACGGAATTACTGCTCGAGAGAGAGAGCTTGCCGGAAGATTTGCGCGAGACAGTATGGATAATTAATGCCGAGAAGTCCATGAACGTATTCAAACTGGCGGATTTCCTAAGGGAGTTCACTTGGAAGAAATTTACTCCTGTCCAGCTAACCGAAGGCCATAGACGCCAGTCTACAGGAATTACGGCAACTACCAAAGGATAAAGGAAGGAGGTGGCAGCCATCCGAACGGAGAACCGTCAAGAAGTGGGACTTTGAGCACGAAGGGCCCAAGTGCTGGCAGGAAAGTTGTCCCAAAACACATCGCAAATCGACCGTGAAAGAGACCATATCGTTCAGATCTTGGTCCCCGGACAAGGGTCACTGCCGAACGACTGATTGTTGTTCAGACTAGACACATGTGGAGATGTGGAACAGAAAGTGCCACGTTTGTTCGACACATGTGCCGTGGTTTGTTCGTGTGGTGGAAATTAAGCCAACTGAGTCAGTAGAAGCCTCGAATATAGCAGCGAACACGAGCCGCAAGTTGACAGATCAGCAAATCGAATTTTCTCTATTAAAAAAACGACGAACAAGCAAACTTTTGCCAGACTGCACAACACAGCGATGAGGAAGTTAAGAATGCTGGTAAAACGGAAACCAAGTGCAATTCTGAAAGTGCCGGAAGCAGAGTACAAGCAACATGTGGGAGGCCGTGTCGGTGACCCTGCATTCATTAACCGGTATGCTGCCCGGAATCGTGATGACGTTTAAATTGAGATGTTTATTATAAGTTTGCAAAATTATTGAGATAACAACTGTCATCTACAAAAACCAACTATCCTTAACCAGTCACAACCTTGTGGAATTATAACAAAAATAGTGCAAGAACGTTCTTGAAAATTCACACACTGAGCTACAGTTGCTTCACTGACCAAAACTGACCCATATGGAGAGAAAAAGCGTATTTTTTTCATTTTTCATAAGCGTGAAAAATTGCCGAAAAGCAGGAGCTTACAAAAAATTGTTTCATGCACCATGATTACCCAGTCGGATGAAAATTTACCCTACTTCCACGCCTACCGTTTCGTGAAATTTGTCTGAAAATCCCTGCTGTCCTCCGCCTACCGTTACTACTACTGCTACCACATTAACAGTACTACTATTAAGACTACTGCTATCGTACAGTGTATAAATCCAACGAAATTCTCCAACCGTAGATATCAAATAGGCAAATTATTATTAGCTGATCCAAGCCTTTGCAATGCGTCAGATTTCCGCTTCAACTTGTTATCACATTCAGCCTCAGTTGTTGACTATAAAAAGGAAACCCTAACCCTATTAAATTCAAGTTAAATGTTTCACAGCCCACTCAGACTTCCCATCCGAATAATTTGCAAACTATCAGCACAAGATGTTTGATTATAGTCGGCCCGAGACCGTCAGCTTAATACAAAATCTGACGTTTATTTCTAAGCTCTATAAATGGATCTGACCTTCTCAAAATTAACTATCAGTCCAGTTACGCAACGAGTCTAATCCTGGCCCGCATATTTTCGTCAGCTGTGTAGCTAGCTGATGCACAACAGACTCTTGTTCACTGTGTGAGGATGCACAGACATTCTGCAAGTGGCGGATCGATTTACTCACTAATAAAATCAATCAGGCACCCGAATGTACTCTTTCTAAATTGATACGTAGGCACGTCATGACCATAATGTGAAAAAGCATCTATTTTTGCCTCATACATCATGATTATGATCGTGAAAAGCGCAACACGCACTGAAAGTTGTACAGTTGATCAGATCTGAATATTGCATTCATTGTATTTCAAATTTTCACGCTTAGCTATCATGCAAATCAACTGTACCAGTGCACCTCACTTCCTAATGCACATTCCAAACATATCCTATCTTTGAAGGAACTGTTCCAGGAGAGTCTTGCCACTAAGCGAAATATCCTTAAACAAACGAAGTCATTTCACCGTAAAAGAGGCCACTACTACTCGTCAAATAGCGATTATTTTTGCGGTAAGCTAGTGCCAAATATCACCATCCACTAGTTGATGACGCAACACCACAACCATTGACGAAAATCGTTTTGCTTGACCTGCACTAGTTAGAGTGGTATAATGCTGGAGGCGACCGAGACGCTTCTATCAAACAGTGTCAACAATAAGACTAGTCATCGTGGTGGTGCCACCTTGCTGATCACTTTTGGTTTTATTTTTGTTTATTTATAAGCCCCTAACCAACTGCGCACAAACATTGAGTTTATTCGCAGAAATCAACAGTTAAGATGTCACAAAACTGGTCCAGAACATAAATCGTGCAATGTTTTCCCAGTATCTTTTCCTTTAGACGTAACCTAGGAACTTCTGGTTGGAACAAACCCATAGATTCGTTATGAAAGGGGTTGTTGTAATGTACGATAAAATCTCACTACTTATGTTGATTATATTGACCAAATTGTTCCAAAAAATTAACTTATCTACTCACATGTTCAATGGTTGCTGTGGCCTGAACAAACAGGACCGTTGAATGGGCCAATTGTTCGTACATTCCCATTTGTCCGCTACAATTAGGTAAGAGAGGAATGGAAACGAAACGGTCAGGCCCATTTCTTGGCAAAACCAAAACCGGGCCAAAGCGCAACATACCATTCATTGACACGTGATTTGGCCTCTTCGAATTTGTTGTCCAGAAACAGATCGATGGTGGTCTTTGCCTCAGAGATACTTTGAACTAATCGATCTTGTGACATACTGCGTGAGGTGAGTGTGTGTGAATAGAATCCAATCGATTGAACTTACACTGCTTTGAGACCAGCAGATGATGGTGGTGGCTAAAATTGCAAAGCGTCAGAGGATAATTGAACATGGTTGGTAATGATATGTAATGCATTTGTTATGACACATTAGTATGACATCATTTTGGAGGTGACTTGACACCTATAACCACGCCAGTCATTAGATCGCACTCGCAGATTCATAGCTTGTTGTAATCTTGATTCGTGAAAACTGAAATTGGTGTCATCAGGTCTCCCTGCTGACTTCACACCTGTAAACAATTAACTGGTTTGGTCAAGCATCGATCGAAAATACATGAAGTAAAGCTCCCGAGCAAAGTATGAATGATGCGACCAACTTTGAATGATTGTCTTTAAGATCTGCCTGGGCATAACAGTCGTCACTTCTTACCGGAATATATACTGAGGGTTGAGTTGCGTTCCCATTGGAGCATATTAGCACATCGGGGATTTGAAGCCGGCATTTGTACACTGCGGATTACGAGCTATGCTAAACAGGTCCTTCAGAATGATAGGTATAAAGTGACTAAGAAAAGCTTTCTATGGCACTTACATGCACGGGAAGGCTCAAATATTGTGCTTATTAAATAGACAATATAGAATATAACACTAGAGAAACAAACATCATCTCATCCTACAAACGTAAAGTATATTTTTGAACCGGTTTTGAAGCAAGCTAACAACTCATGAAATTGAACTCAATAGTTTCATTCTTGGCCTAGCTCATAAAATTCATAGATTTCAAGCCATATGTTTATAGACCCATTGTATAGGTCTTACTTCTTGGGCGTTCTTTAATTCTGCACTCACAGTAAACAGTGAGATTTGTCGCACAAAATATTACAATAGATTCCTTTCATTTTATTATAAGTAAAACCAAGGGTCAATGTTTTTCATTTTAACTTCCTTTTATTGAATACACAATGGTACGAATTTCAGGAAGGAAGAAGCGAAGTCAATTAAAGGGCTACCATACCAATACGCAACAGAGAAGTCAAGCGGTAGTGGTGGGATTCAAACACACGTCCTCCGGGGTGATAATTTGGTGATGTGATCACAGCCCGGACCGGTTAGGCTTTAGGGAGAATCTTGTTGTCGGTATCCATGACATAAGGCATATCCCCCCGAATTCCCTTGTGTGGTCACAGTTCTCTTTTTCACAACCCAATATTTCATTGTTTATTCAACAAACAGAAAGTGAATTATTGCAATGACCCATTGAAAGAAGGGAATAGTATAGTATCGTTGCTTTTCTGTTGCGCATAATTGAATATTCACCAATTATTTCAATTTTGAGCCAATGTTTATGCAGGCAGGAAGATCTGATGTATTTTGGACACGGTGTTCTCGCTGGCTGCGACACCCGGGCCCCATGGTTCATCACAGGCAACAATTCTCTCATAATAATTCATTGCGACTGGGTCTTTGTTTAAAGTTTATCAGTGGTTAGGGAGTACACCAGATCAAAGCTAACTTCACTTCGTATAGTATGATGCATGCTTATGGGCACACTCTGCCATAAAATAAAAATGTGGTAAATAAATATATGAATTTTCCCTAATATGGGGGACTAGTCAGTGGAGACTAACAGTGAGGCCTTAGAAGCTAATTGTTATTAGGTTAGAAGATAGAAAACTGCTAGCCTGGAAGTAATAACCTTGTTTTAAAAAGGGGAGATAATCCACAGACCGTGTTGAATAGGAACAATTCAAATGTTTGTTGGATTCAGTACTCGGCGCACTCAAACATACCGTTATACCATTCAAGCACCGGTTTGAACTTTCACTATCGCACATTTATAAAAAACAATTCACTTTTCCCTAACAGGAACAATAAGTAATTGTTTTATAATAAATATAGTTATTTTCTTTTTATCAATGAGACGCACAGTTATGGAAACAATTTTTCACAAAGCAGGCTACTGTGAATTCTGGGTCTTCTGGTGGAATACATGCATTGATTACAATCAGCAGTGTTGGTCAGATTCGATTACACGCACATGACTGCCAGGTTAGGGCATTAACGACTTTAATTGGTTCATGAAGACAGCTCGAGACTATTTCATCGACCTTGATAATCGCAAGTTTAATCCACTCCATTGACACCCTTCCATGCTATGCTGTTCGTTCATTTCAGAATTACATTTTTGATGATCAAAATCATTGTGGGTGATTAAATCAGTATTAATATTATTATTATTATTGCTTACTCCCGATGCTGTCATTAAATTATGCTCCTTGTAGCTCACCACGTAAGNNNNGTGTTTCACGCATGTCCGACAATCTTCGGTTATATAATAATGAACAATACTCACGTTGCACACGATAGATTAACGGCAATAGCCAGGCCCATATACATCGTGATTCAGTTCATAGATCCATCATTGTTCGAAACAGAAGAACAACAGCCAGTTCACGGGACAAAGCCGGGACAAACAAAATTTATCAACTCACTGAAAACCGAGGCACTAGAATTCACAAGATTGATGGACAAATTCATTGTGCACCACAAATCCACTTCGGCATGACTTCAACAAGATATGAGCTGATCAAGGTACAAAACATCTCCTAAATGTTGCTTCCAATCAAGTAACGTGTACATCCGAGTCGCAAATATTGTTCATTTTTTGTTTTAAGTGTGCATCGTGTACAGAAATTTGTTAAGAACTGCACCAAACCTGCCATTCAGAAAAATAAAATCAATACCATGGATAACAGACCGTCAGACTGATTATCCAGTTGAAAGTGATTTAAAAGTCAAACTTACGTAACTTTTGAATAGAATAGCGTGGAATTTAGCTCGACGGTTCTTATGGAAGCGTGCATCGTGGATAGGCCTTAGCTAATAATGGGGTGCCTTAAAGTCGTTGGTCTTCCAGCTAAGGCTTGGCCATGATGTGAGATGGCATTTTCACTGATTGCCTTTCCCAAATGGCGGCTATCAGGGGAAGTTAGATGAGGGGCTAACACATCCAAACCCCAAACGAGTTTCTTCTCCCGCAGGAATCCAGAAAACCTTGCGGAAAAGATGACATTCCAACACGATTGAGGTAGGCAGGTAGGTTGGTAGAGCCCACCTCACTAAAATGTAGTTGAAGCACCGAAGCATGAAGACCATGAATTGGTCCTCCCCATTGATGATGATCTACTGATGGTGTATTCATACGGGCATAAATTAAAAGCAAACAGCTCTCATAATTGACACACTTTCAAAGTTCACACAATTCAAGAATCTGATGGAAAGCAGGTCTGAGAATGAAGTCACAATCAAAAATTATTAAGTTTGGTGTGTTTTATAACCATTTGAATATATTCATCATATTCCTGGGACACATTTCCTCAGATCAGTCGATTTTGCAGTCCTAATCCGAATCCACTGGATTCTTCTCTTCGATAATGACTTATGTCAGCAGCATATGAAATCTGATCTTCGGGGTTGTTTGATTATTGTGAAATTGCTGAAAAACGTTGGTGTGATTAATAACATATCATGCACTCATCTCTGAGCGAGCTCGCAACCACTTTTGATCGTCTGAGGGAAACTGCGGCGAAACTCCATCATCTGTTTTTATCAGACCCCGGAATAGTATAAATCAGTGCTGATCTGCCGTTGGCACACGATGTAATCAATCGAAATCATCCCGGATTTTGACAGAATCTGTTTGGCAATCGTGCGGTGGGTTTAGTTAAAGCCAACACCCTGTTGCGAAATCATTTGCGCGTGCGTAAATGAACTCACTAATGGTAAATTTTGTTGTACCAATTTCTAGAAAAAGGAAATTAGTTGGTGCCGAAAATCAGTTCCCGGGTAGCGTCTGTTATGGATCGTCTTTTGTCTTCCCTCGTTTTAGGGTAATCAGTCCCCACTTGCGAGAATTAGTAGCGGCAAGGTAAACACAATGAGATGAAAGATACAAACAATACTCCGTCAAAATAGTTCGCTGTGAATAAGGTCATTCAAAATTCCGAATGGCATTGCCTTGACAGAACAACGCTGTTCAATCGGTAAAATGGAGTAACGTAAAAGCAGTGAATGTGTATAAGTGTTTAGGAATTGAAACGACCAAATTTTGTCATTCTATTTGGTGACAACTTACATATTTGTTTACAAAAATAATAGCCACATTCGAACGAGAATTGAATCCACATTAGGTGATTTGTACTTTTTAGTCAGTTGAATGGTAGCTCTTTATTGGGTCGTACATTCAAGTAAGTTGCAAGCGTTTCTGTATAGTTTGAGTGCCAGCGTAGCTATGTTCGCTAGGTACTTTACACCTTAAAGGTGTAAAATGTTGCTGCAAGACTGCATCGGTCCAGCACCTAACCTCACTGTTATTGGGGAACTGAGAGACAAGTTTTCTTATTGGGTTGCTACACCTCACTCAAATGAAGTATCAGCTAGCATACAAAAGGCCCGATTGACTTCTGCCAACTCGAGACATCTGTCACGCCGTCGCGACATCCGACTGTCCGTCAACGGTCGGGTGTATGTTGCCGCAGTTCGACCAGTTCTGCTATACTACCTAGAAACTTAACCATTAGGAAAACAGATAACGATAGACTGTCATGTTTGAACACCGCTATCTACATCACATCGCAAGAATGTGGTGGGGTAACCCCACGAGCAATGCTGAGGTTGGGCGTAGAGTTTTGGGTCGTCCACTGGAGCACGTAGTCGATCTCTATAGATTGAGTTGGTTAGGGCTTGTAGAGCATGTCACCAAATAGGCTTCCCTGGCGAGCGATGTTTGCTGAGGCAGGTAGTGGGTGGAAAGGGCGGTCAAACTAAGACCGGGCACGAGGGTATGAAAACTCTAACCAGGAGACTCGGTCACACAGGTCCCGTTAGGCTCGCTGGATGGGGTAATCGAGATGAAGTTAACCGGTGGTTAGAGACACTGAGTGATATGGCCGGGTGTCGTAAACAGTGGCGCTCGTGTATCTATTCATTATTCT